AGCATTCACGTTGCCACTCACGTACGAACATGTGAAATTTGCCGTAATTTTGTAACCGGAGCAGCTAGAGTGCTGAAACTTTCTGAGCGTTACCCAGGACCGTGTTTGAGCATCTGCGGGCGAAGAAAGCATTCACGTAGCCAATCACGTACGGACACGTGAAATTTGACGTAACTCTGCAACCGGAACATCCAGAGCGCTGGATCTTCTGGGCATGGAGGAGTTACTGTAATAATTTCTAACGGTCGTGGTGGCCAGTTCTAATTCTTTTAGCCAGAAGTATCTGCCAGGAAGAACGTGCCACTGGCGAAAAAAACCTGTGGGGCGGACTGCGCAAAAAAAGCATCCTCGTACCAGCAGCGGTACGCTTTCTACTAAGTGTATATTTTTGCGAAAACGTGAAAAGACGCATACTGGCGAAAGGCTTTCGATGTGTGTGTATGTATGTTGCGAGTTCGCAGACGCAAAATGAGCATTCGCCCCTACGCCAGTATTACGCGTACAGGCGTGGAAACTAAATTTTAGTAGAAAAGCGATTTTGGGAGCCAGTTGATCTAGGAGGCTGAAACTTTCTGTGGATATGACCGATAGGTGATTGAAACATTTACAATTCGTCTCTCACACAAACCCGTTGTAGCACTGTTGGCATCCATTTAACTCGCGAATCAGACCACATAGGCAGCTTTAGTTTCATGAAGACATCAGTTTTCCGCGTGTAAACTCGCATACATAAAACCGGTTTTTGCGACTCATGTCTCGTGCTTGGATGCTGCTTGCTGTAGGGTAGAATCAACGCTCATGCATGCCTTGCTCTCACTTACAGAGGCCTGAGAAAAATATGTACTTTTGGCGGGAAGGGTTTCGGGAAGCGGTAGACGTAGGAAGCCAGAAATTTGCAGGGATGTTCTCTTTCCATGGGTGAGCTAAAGATTTAAATTCATCTGCAGCGCGTGCTTAAGGCATATCAAAGATACTTGTAGCAAAGCGACAATTTCGGGTAGCAGACAAGCTGCGAAGCTGAAAATTTTTCAAGAGTATTCTATCTTCACGTTTGGCCCAAATTTAGTACTGAGGCTAAATTCCCTGCACAACGATATGGCAGATACTTAGTGTTATCGCAAACTCAAAAACCCTGGTTGCAACGCACCAGGCTTGCCGGTGCGATCATGTGTTTTTGCGTTAAACTTGTGGATCGCTAACAGAAATGATTCTTGCGCTGTAGTTTAATACCTGGACTCATATTGGCTGTCTTTTCGCCTCTTCCCAAACGCAAGGGGAAAAGACGCCGGCTAGAATGAAGATGTTGCATTACGGGGCCACATGGACCTTCAGCGTGCATGATTGCCAGTTTTTTGCATGAAGCCCGATCGTTTTTTTGGTAATCCGTTCACTGAAAAAATGCAGATTTGGAGGAAGTTGAAGAGAATTATGAAATCTGCAAAATGCACTTGCTTTTGGATTATCGATAAAATTGAGCATTTTTCACGTCCATGTGCAGAGAATTTCACCTCCAAGCTGAATTGTGACCATATGTGAAAATATAGAATATCCTTGCAAAGTTTCAGCTTCGCAGCTTGCCTGGTAAGCGAAACAACCACTTCGCTACAAATATCTTTGGAGTGCTGTAACTCGTTGCGCAAGTGCAAACCGAAACTCAATTTAGGCGTACGATTTCTCATGTGAACAATAAATATTTAGACAAAATTTTAGCTACTTTTTTCCGGCTAGCTTTCGAGTCAGCACAGTGTCAGCTGAGAAATCTCTACGTGACTGTACGTCTGTATTTTAGACGTGCGCGGCAGCTGAAATTAGAATCTTTAGCTCGTAGATGCACAGAGAATATCAGCTTTCAAGTTTCGGCCTTCTTTCCTGTCCGGATCACGAAGTCGTTTCGCGACAAAGAAATCTGCATATTTTTTTGGGCGTCCGTATAAGAGATCTAGGAGTGTAGGAACGAAGATTTTAAAACCAGAGGATGACGCATGGGGAAGGGGAATATGACCGCAAAATTTCAGCCTTCTAGCTTTTCTGGTTGCTAAGTTGAAAGTGGGTGACAGAGTTCACTCGCTTCCGAATACACACACGCGGGTCATCTCTCGACAACATGCATTTTTGCTTACTGGCGGCAGAGCTAGAGCGCTGCACAGCAAAAACGCTTAACAAGCGCATTTTGCGAACTTATCACCTTCCTCTCTCTTCATCCTGTCCATTATGCAATTTGCATTTTTCGGTGAACGACCGGTCACTGAATAATTTTTGTTGGACATTGACATTTCAGACACCTGGGAGTTAGCGTTTCATGCAGCAACGTCTGAGCCGACGCCTTTTTCCCCTTGCGCGCAAGCAAAGGCCAAAATGCACCCAAAATGAGTTCACGTGTTAAGCTGTAAGGCACCAACCATTCACACTGTTATCAGTCTGACCGTTTCAGGTTTAACGCAAAAATGCATGATTGTACCGGCGAGCCTAACTTGTCACTGTCTAAGTTGGAATTTATCATGGCTGGATTGAAATGCGTGCCCCGCCTCTGTGGCAGTTTTAAATATTTTGCTTTAACTTGTTGAAATCAGGCCGGCAAAATAAATTTTGCTCACTCATCATGTCATTTTAAAACGCATAGCTGATTTTTATGCGTTTTTGCATATATGTAAATTGCAAAAACGCATATTGGGAAGAAGCTGTCTGT